ATATTTTATATTTTTCGCTAGATATAAATATCTTATATTTTCAAAATAACAAAAAGAATAAAGTGCTTATCACTATGGTTAGAGTACGTATGAAATGTGATGCACCTCAATTTACTCCCAATGATTATGTTTATATTATGCAATGCTGTAATATAAAGCCAAGATACAAAATTTTAAAGGAGTTATTGGATAAATATAAAATATCATCAAAACGTATTTATCAGATTTGGAGAGAGGAAGAAGCTAATAGAGTTCTCTGGGACCAACCTATATCCCACTCATATAATGATGATGATGAATCAAATCGAAATACTAAATGTCTTGGTGTAAACCAGCTTCCAGCTGTCACTAGCTCTTCTAATATATCTGATTCTACCATGAATGTCCTCCATATAGAATCTCAACCTTTAAATAATGTATCAGTAGACTCTTCAAACCATTGCTTTGCAATAGAGCCAGCACAACCAAATAAGTGAACAAAAACAAAGAAATCCAAGCCCGATCGAATATCTAACCCACTTGTTATTTCCAAGGACTCAACAGAAAAAATAGATGCAGATATAGTTGTCCAATTTAGACGTGCAGTAGGTGAAGGTAGGAATTTAGCAAATTTAGAGTATAAGATCGATGAGACATAGACTCTAAACTTTATCCATTCTTCTTTCTATTTTTTTTCCATATAATGTTTAATAAGGGCATTGAGATTGACAATAATTTTAGTTGCATCATGCATTTCTTTCACATACCTCTCACAATTTACGCATTTTTTTTAGCATCTTTGGTACTTGCTCCGCTAAAGTCGAATTGGTAGATTCTAAGCTAAAACCCATAGGAGCATGCCATTCTTCCAATGGTTCATCCCCCTCATTACTATCAACCTCTTGAGAAATTTGATCAGATACCAAAGACTTACTATTTTGAGCTACAATTGTGCAATTTACTTCGAGTTTGTTCTTGACCTCATGCATATTAATTGGAATAAAATGTTCCTTACCATTACATACAAGTTTCAATAACCGTTTCGATGCGAGTAAATCATAATCATATTTGTCGAGTAATGGGTTAGGTAAAATTAACATTGGTTTGCGATATCAAACTACTGCAAAGTCAGAATGTATAACACAACCTGGAGCAAAGGTTACTGATACATTATGTACGGTTCCAATTGATTCGATATGAGTGACAACTCCACTAAGCTTATGTTTTTCATCTGGATTCATTTTTAATTTCGCACGCTTAGCAATATCTTCAGTCATAATAGGGAAATTAGCGAGTGAATCGATTCCGCCTGTGGGAATAACTAGGTGGTTAATTTTACATTTTACAGTAGCAATATCTGTAGCGGGATCTTTTCTCTGAACAAAATCAATTTCCATAGGATCATCCAATATCTCTTCGTCTTCTGAATCAGGTATTGCTGGAATTGGTTCTCAGTGATTTATAAAATCCAGAGTAGTTAAATATTTGTCTTCAGATTTAAGTTTCTCTAACTGATGCGGAAGTAAGACCTTTTCAAGCATATCTAACAAAATTCGACAAATATTCTGCTCAAGGGTAGTCACTTTATTTTGAGACTTACTAGAGGTGACAACACCTTTCTGTTTAGTCTTATAGGATTTAGGTATTTTCTTAGAGGACGATCTACCCTTCCGCTTTACTTTTTTTTTTTGAATTAACAGCGTTGATAATTTTCGCGATTTCAGTCTCAGTTAAGTCATTCACAGAATCAGATTCTGATTCAGAACCAGTCCCAGAGTCAGAGCCAGAATTGGAATTATTATCCGAAGAGTTAGTATCAGACTCAGAATCTGAATCTATAGAAACCTTATTGATATTACCTTTCTTCTTGGACCCACTCTTAGATTTTCTTTTCCGAGTACACTTGCGAGAATTATGTCCGGTCCTATTGCAATTTGAGCATCTGTATTGGGATATTTTCTTAATCTCCTTCTTGACCTGTCTAGATATAGTCTTATTTATAGACAACTTACTCATACGATTAGCCAGTTCTTCATCTGAGTCAACTTCGACATTTTTTGATGTATTCCCTCCATTTTTCTTAGGCAAGAAAGAAGAAAATTTATCAACTACTCCTTTAGTAATTGTATCTATTAATGATTGTAAAGTAGATGGACCTGCTAAAGCACTAAGACGATTTGTTGCATCATCCATTTGGACCCATTCTGGATCATTCAAGCGCAAACCTGGATCCCAATATATTTCACCTGGTTTCATTTGACTGGGTCGTAATAATTGTCCTTCTCGTCTTTGGGAAGTTGATTGTGTAGAAACGGATGGAGATTGTGATGAAGCTATAATAGATTTTACAAAACTTTCCATTTCATCTTTACTCATACCCGTATTGCTTGAATAATCATTCTTTCCGTGACCTTTATTGGATGATACTGAATTTGAGTTTGAATGCAGGTAAGCTCTGGATAATTGTTCCGCTGTATATCTTTCAATTTCTTCAAGTTTCAGAAATAACTCATCTGGAGATTTTTCGATTCCTAAACGACGAACTTCCATCTGGTTGGCGGGTGAAAGTCCACGAAGAAATTATAATCAAATTTGTTGTTCATCAATACCAACAAGCCTAGCTAATCTACGTAAATTAGAATAGAAATGGCCAACGGGATCACTTCCTTGAACTGTTGAACCAAAAAGTACTCACTGTTTCTCCGCAGTAACTGTAGGATAATTAGTTCTAAACCAATATAATATTTGTCCGAGTTGAATACCAGGTACAACTACAGTATTACCTGTATTAGCATTGGGTGCATTGGGTAAGCGATCAGTTGGTCATCCATCAGCAAAAGACCAATCTTCATCAAATACTGTATGAGCTGGAATTACAACATTACCATTCTGCCCATTTGCACGATTTAAGGCCTGTGCTCCAATTTGACCAGCATTTCTTCCTTGAACACCAGCTAAATTTGCTTGTGTTGTATTATCAAGTAAATTTCTCAATTCCCAATTTTTTCCGTGGATGATTCTTTCATACCAATCTTTAGAGTCACCTTTGAGAGATGCTATAAAAACACCATGAGCATTAATTCTATTAGCATGTCCAGCCCCTACATCTATTCCAGAACCTACAAGCCATAATCTAAATTCTTCAATATGTTCTTCAGGATCTTCAGTAGGATATTCATGAAATTTTTTTAATTCATAACCCACCATACCTGTTCGATTGTTATTATGATTCTGCGGTATATTATTCTGTAGTAATAAAATTTGGGCTTGTAAATTTAAAATTAATTGCTGTGAATTGTGCTCTCTATTTTTCCACTTGATATGACTTGCCTTCCGATCCTTGAATTTATTATAATATCTATCAAAGAGCTGATCTCGATTATATTCTAATAATCCTTTATCAGCCTGGTATTGTTGTAACTCCTACTTTAGCCGATGAATAGATACCTTATAAATAATTTCGAGAGGACGCTTGAGTTTAGATTGTTTTTCTAATGCCAAGGTAACATTATACCACAAATACCCTCGCAAATTATATCTTTGTTGGATATTATTAAGATCTTGAGTAAGTTGATTGACATGATTCTGCAAGGCATCTCGTTCTGATATAAGTTGATTGACATAGTTTTGCAAGGTATCTCGCTCTGGTATAAGTTGATTAACATAATTTTGTAAGGTATCTCGCTCCTGAACAAGTTGATTAGTTTGATTCTGAAGGTCAGCGTTTTGTTGTCTATAGTAATTGACATCCTGTTGTAGTTGGACTATCTGATTATTGCTATCATCTCGTTGAGCGATAACACTGTCTATATCCTGGTACACAGACTGATAATTATGCCGAACAGTATTTAAGGAACCTCTAATGCCATTTATAATATTTATAGGATTATTTAACAGTGTTCCAGCATCTCTAAGGTAATTTTCAATACGAGTCAAGCCTCGTTCGATTTGTATAAAAAGATCAAGATTTGTCATATCTATATCTTCCTCTTCTGAATTATATAAAATTGGAGAGCTTCTTCTCGAAGAAATAACTTTGAATCTATGCCTTAGATTTTGATTCCGCTCTTTTAATTCTTGTAATTGTTTCTCTATATTATCGATATAAGATATCTTATCTTGGACATCCTTTTTAGCTTGATATAAGCTTTTTTTAAGTGATGATATCTCTGATTTCAAATCTGCTTTTTCTTCCTCTGAAGCATTCTCAAGCTGTTCCAGTTCTTTATTGAGAGATTGAATTTCATTCTCACACCAGGTATATTTGCGTTCTAGCTCATTTATGTATTTCTCGTTCGACTTGTTGATGGCTATCTCCGATTGTAATATCTCCTGGAGTTCTTGATTAATTTGTTCTAGCTCGAGTTCTTTATCAGTAGCTGATCTATGAGTTGTTCGATTGGAAGGTCAGGATCTAGGCACATAAGTGCCCTTGCCTTGCAAGTGAAATGCCATGGTTATTACGAAGTAATGAGACTCTGTCTCTATTTTTTATGACATAATATATCTTTCATATAAAGGAGATTTTGTCTCTTAACTTATCTTCCGACTTTGCTATACATAATTTTTACTATATCAAAAATGAGTAAATCGAGCACGCTTATTATTAGAATCGATCCAGATGAGGAATTAAACTTAATCTGTAAATTGCTTTTTTACTAACCTACTGGTTATCATTCCAACCCTTGAAAGCTGTATAATGCTATCAAAGATAAAGGATATAATTTTCCATATAAAAAAGTGTGTGATTGGCTCATAAACCAGAATAAATGGCAAAAATATGCTCCGTTACCAAAAAATATTTCACGAGTTAGTTATGATAAAATTTCACATCCAAATTGTGTACATATGTGTGATTTATTGCGTCTTACAAATGATATTGTTAATAAAAAGACATATAAATGGGCACTCACTATTATAGACGTTGCATCATGTTTTAAATACGCTGTTCCTCTTACATCGAAAAATAGCTCAGACGTTGCCAAAGCCTTCAAAAAAATTTATAATGATTCATCAAATCCACTTGTATGACCAACACTTCTACAATATAACCAAAGGCGTGAATGGATGGGTAAGACAAGTAAAATAATGGAAGAACATAATGTAACGATTAGATTGATTGATGCATATAGTCATCGGGATCTAGCAATTGTAGACAGATTCTGTAAGACACTTGCAAAAATGCTTTATAAAATCCAATATAGTATTGAAAGTATATCCTCAGACCCTAAATTAATAAGAGCATGGGTGAAGTATTTGCCAGAAGTCATTGATTACCTAAATAATTATCCAACGCATCTCATTAAAGCTCCAGGTTCTACAAAGTGGAGTTTGGCTCCAGCAAAAGCTATCAAACTGAAACGAGTAGAATCTAGACCATCTACAAAGTATAAGCGTTCTGTTGGAAAGAATGAGGAAAATAAGTTAAAAAAGAGGGATAGTGTTCGTTACCTGCTTGCTAATGCAGAGTGAGAAGGAGGTATGGAAAATCAGAAAAGGGCCACGGATCTGATGTTTTCATCTTCTTTACATAAAATTCGAAAAATTATTGTAACGAAGAATGAACCAATTTTATATTATCTCGGAAGTGATAATGATAAATATCCTCCAAAGTGGGAATTTGTGCGAGAGGAGCTCATGCACGTAGATTTAGAAAAACTTCAGTATCCGTCTCAGAGTATATTGGAAGAAAAAACTCATTCCAGATCTATCAATTTTGTTCGTATTATTAATAAAATGGCTAAGGCTGAAGAATATACAAAGAAGTGTAATAGAAAATGTCTTGGTAAAACTGGCCAAATAAATAATTTCGATGTATATTTCTGGTCTTGTGAAAATGGAAAACATCAGTGGGAATATCCATATCCATTAATAGCTACGAAATTTGAATGGTGTCCAATTTGTTTCCATCATAGTGATGAGTGAATATTTTTGAGGATCTGTTGGGTAAGAAATTTCCATCTTGTAAACTGTCATTTTTGAATGTGATGCAATTAGATGGGTATAGCGAAGAATTAAAATTGGCATACGAATTCCAGGGGCCTCAACATTTTTCTGAAAATCCAATGTTCCATAAGCGAGGCAAGATAAACTTAAATGATCAACAGATACGCGATCAAAAAAAGCGGGATGAATGTAAAAAAGAGTGTATAGATCTTATTGAAATTCCGTATACTTGCGATTTATTGCCATATATAAAAAGTAAATTGCAGAAGAAAGGTTATTTACCGCATAAAGAATAAATATTGCTTATCTTTTGGTTAAAATAAAAGAAGAAAAAATGCCTATATTTGTATATGCCATCGATGAGATATCAAACAAATCCTCAGAACAAATAAAATTTAATAAATTTGCACCTGATTGGCCATTCAGATTACTGGTATGTGAAGGATCCAATAGCGGAAAAACTAATATGGTAATTAATCTTATGTTGGGTAATAAATTACAGCGAATGTTTAAAGATAAGAAAGGCAATCATTATATCAAAAACGATGACCTCGTATTAATAGGCAAACATTTTGAGCCGAAATGGCAACTTGTACAAAATAGCTATCAGATTTTTGCAAATGCTCCAAAACCATATCGAGAAGATGTTACATTTAAATGAATATTACCAGATAAGATTCCAGATATAACTAAATTCTCTCCGGAACGAAGTACAGTTATTGTTTTTGAGGATCTATGTGCTGAACCCAAAAAAGTGCAAGAACGAATTATTCCTTACTTCATTAGTGGCTGGCATCAAAATGTCTCACCTATATATGTGAGCCAGAAATATACACAAACATCTAAAATTATTCGTGAAAATATCTCATATTTATGCCTATTTCAGGGATCGGGTAGTAGAGACGATATTAGTAGAATTGTACGTCAATATACAGATGATCCAAAAAAAGCATCCAAGATTATTGATAAGCATTTGCAGGATCGAGAATTCGTGGTTTTTGATTTTACCAAGACAGTAGACGATCCACTTGCTATTAGATTGGATTGGGATACACCCTTAAATCTTATGTGATTTCAGATATTTTAGAAATTTTTCTGCCTCTTGCAATTCTATCTTCTTTTTTTCAACTTCACATTGTAACTTCTTATTTTCATTAACCCGCTTTTCATGCTCTATAGTAATTTCTCGCATAAATTTATCAAAAGTTTTTTCATTGTATTCCAATAATCGCTGAAATAAAACATTGACCTCTTTCTTAACCTGGCGATTGATCTCATCCTCACATGCGAAGCAAAGACACCTATGTGTCTGATCACATGAACAAATCAGAATAGTATCTTGGATTTGGAATTCTTGGTTAATCATGTCTATATGTATCTTAACACTAGCTTTGTTATTATAATTATACGATAAATTTTCAAGTGTATCTATAATTTGAATTTGTTTTTTACGCTTCCTATTTAATCCTTTTTCATATACCTCTAATGTATGGTGCAAATAATTTTCAATTCAATCGCATTTTTCAGAAATTTGCTCTAAGGTAACGGGAGATTTAGAGTGATATAAAAGTCTATGATACGCTCTTTTGACCAGACTTTTTAGAAGTTTCACTATAATGGGGTTATAATTGGGATGAAACATTGATTATTAGTTTGCGCGCAAAAAGTTTGCATACAAAAAATATAGAATATGCATTGATAAAAAATCAAAGTAGAGTCAGGCACGTAAGTGTCATTGTTTCACAATAAGACTCATGACTATGCCATAAAAAATGTTACCAGCCCTCGGAGATAATGAAATAAAATCTAAAGTACTAGCCTTAAGGAATAATTTAGATGATTTTATTCCTTTTTCCTCTCATGTTTGGAAAAAGATATGTGTCGTTATCTATTATTTGTAACACATTCTGCATCTATTTTTCTGGCTTCGAATAAATAGATGTGTATAGGTATTAGATAAGTTGTGCATTGTTAATTTGTTGCATTTCTTCTCTAACTGCCCATAGTAATTAGTAATGTTGAGTTAATTCTTCGGCTGTCATACCATCGGGATGATACATATATTCGAGCCATTTTTGAGATATGATATTTATAGCTTTGATTTTTTTTCCAACTTCTCTTGCACGTTTAACCTTTTTGACAGCATTCTGTTCCCACAACTAATATCTGTGTAATGCATACTCATTATTATAAATATATCCTGAAATAGATTTTTGTTCGATTTTCAGTAAGTACTCATCATAATTTACTCTACAATATGCATTTCCTGTACAATGGATAGTCCAATGCCTCTCCATTCCTATGTGATTATAATTACCTATATTTTTGGTTCGTTTTCCAGTATATTAATATACCAATTGATTACAAGAGAAGCAAATAGCAATACCAATTTCAGGTGCATAGCTTTTCCAAAATCCATTAACCTCAGACCAATATGTAATTAATTTTCTGGCTTCAAGGTATTTTTTGCTATTAGTTGGTAGTAGATCATTCTCTCTGAAATATTGTAAGCGAGTCCAAATTCAGTTCATCCATTCGGTAAGAGTCTCATTCGATGAAACAATACTTATCTTTAGAAGTTCATTCCATTCAGCATCGGTACAATTGGTTTCACGTCTTTCACTTAAGCTAACCATCTATCTTATATAACCTATTTATCTGTTATAAGTATATTAGATGTTTACGTGATTTATAAAAATTTTAGACCTATTAGATTTTAATAACTTATACTATAAAATAACTGGATTCAATTTTAGTGAGATTGGATTCTCGAATCATTTCTTCAAGGGTGTTGTTATATTCGATAATATTTTGTGAGTAATATATAATGTGAAAATAGGAGATATATATTGATTATAATAGAATATATAAATATAAATATCATTATTCATAATTTAAGAGATGAACCTGTGAAAAAAAAAATACATTAACTAACCCTGAGATATTTCTAGTCACTACTGATTGCACAAATAACATGTTCTTACACATATTCAGTAAATATTGAATAATGCTCTTTTAATTCCTTTTTATATCGTGCAGTAGGAACGTCCATTTTAGCCTCAAAGTTTTTCTTGTGTTTTAAGAAATCTGCTTCGGGCATACTTTCTCGTTCTTTCTTCCAATATTTGGTATTATCTCGGAATTCAAAAGCGATATTATCTCTCCATTTATCTAATAATTTCTTTGTCATTTTGAATTTCTGTTGCAAGAGAAGAATTAAAGTATTAATATCTGATTCATTTCTGATAAGAATTTCTTTTTCAGGTAATACTGAAGTTATATTTTTGATAACATTTTGAATTTGGCTATTAGTAAGACTAGAAATGGCATATATACTGTAGGAGACTTGTTTGATTTTTTCTATTCCAACTCCATCTTTCCCAAATAACATTCGAATTTTTTTGGCTCTTAAGGTTTTCATACGCAAGTTTCCCGATGTAATACCAGGTAGATGGTTTAACATTTCCTTATATAGTTGTGTTCTAGCAGTTTTATCTGTAACTCCTGTCTCACGGCAAATTTCGATAATTTTATTTTCAAAACTATCAGAGTAATAGTACCAGGATAAGATTTCTTCATGTCTAGCTCGTATTGCATTTTGGAATAGATAGATTAAGCTTTTTGTTGTAATTTGGGATGATTGATGCTCTGTAATCTCAATGGAAACCGGTGAGATAATGACTCTACTACTTCGCAATTCTTTTGTTAACCCTTGCTCTATACATTGACTTTTAGTGGGTTCAATTTCATCAGGCTCTTCGGACACATGAATGTTATGATTTGGAGACTCGCCCCCTGGCCTTTCCTGTGATAAATGTTCTTTATATTCTATATTAGGATTCGAAAAGTTTTTTTGCTGATCGTCACGTTTCGTGACGGAAATTTCTTGGCATTTTTCTTTTTCGCTTACATGATTTTGCTCAGGAGAGATAGAAGTATCTGAAACTAAGTTCTGGGATTGGTCTTCAGCTGATTGAAGCTTCTTCTCCCTATTGCATTGCTTTATCTCGCTACTAACTCTTTCCTTACTTTTCAAATCCAGAAATTCATCGATCTCTTTATTTTCCGACGATTTAGGCTCGGACGAGTATGTATGTATATTGGAAGAAATATCAGATGATGCTTCGTGGAGAATAGAATCTTCTAATACGTATACGCTATCACTTTGTGTCTGCTTCTGTTCCAATTTTGTGACTCTGTCTCTGAGCTCAGCATTTTCAGCAATGAGATTACTGGTGTCTATTTTATTTCTCTTTTCTAGCTCCTCGAATCTGGTCTTGAGCTCAGCATTTGCTTCTATAGCTTGTTTCAATTTTGTATTCTCGGCCTTGACCTCAGCATTCTCCTTTAAAAGCTCAGAAATCTCAGCCAAGAGCTTCGAATTTAATTCTTGCAACGAATCGATTTTTGATTGAGCAGATTGAGGTTCAAGCTCTGATGACATGTTTTGTTAACAACCTTTATATAAGGTACAGATTTATTTAAATTATCGAGTTTAAAAATCACACAAGCGTTTCGTAACGCCGGTCACTTTTGCCAATAATGATTATGCCTCAAAGAAGCGCCCTAAGGGCCTGATATATTTACATTGGAAAATCATGATGAATTCTTAAATGTAGAAGCGTCATTTTTTATACCGTGCGGATAAACCCCTCTTTGCACGTTCAATATCTTTGAATGGAAAATATAAATATCAGATCTTGTTTATACGTAGGGCGAAGCCCATGCCACATAGTGACGCCCTTCGGGCTGTCTTTTTATACATGTGTTAACAAATAATTACAATAAAGTTTGCAAAGTCTGTCTAAATCTATGTCTACTTGAATAAGAAGGTATAAAACTAACTACGTAAGGAGTATGTACAGCATACTTCAGATGCTTTGCTGGTTTTCGCGTAATGCGACGCGTCGATCAATTTCGACGGCTATGTGTTAGCATATGATTGGTCGCAATGCTATCCACAAATTTTGAAATATCCCAGACTGAAATATCGACCGCGGAACAAATATTTTCGTTTTGCACATTACACAAATGCCAAAGGAAATCGATATTGCTGACAAACCGGGGTTTTCATACTTTATTACCACGCCATGTGAAGAATGGGATGCACTAGAATATCACGAGGAATGGTGTGCGTCCAAACATCCCATTAACAAGGCAACGATCACGGTAGCAATCACGCGACAGCTAGAATGGTTTATGAAGCAAGGATCAGAAGAAGAAAAGAAGGAAGCTAACAGAATGTTTAAGCAATTTAAAGTGTGTTACTTTTTTGCGTTAGAGGGCTAGTGCTGGTTTAGTTATGTAGGATTAGAGTGAGGGTTTAGGATGAATGGCTTCGATAGTGTAGTGATTATCACAAGCTTTACACGCTTAATGTCCTTGGGTCGAACCTGAGACGAAGCATTTGGTTTTCATTATTCTGTCCGTGATATTGTTACATTTTTTTACGTGGCGGTTGTGGCAGGAATCACGAGGGAATACGTTCCGCCCGTGTATGGAATACGTTCCGCCCTGTCTCAACTGAGATTGAAGCTACCCACTGGAATACGTATCCGAGTGGCAATGGAATACGTTCCGCTGAAATCTTTCCATGAACTTGCAAAACTTAGTTAACTATCATGAGCTAACCTTGTTTTTATTACTGTTAATTTTTGTAGGAAGGTGTAAAAGCTGGTGGTTATATTGATGATTTTTGGATTAAAATGGATTTGGAGAGGAAAATAAACTTGCAAGAGATCAAGGTTTCTGCAGAAGTTCGTAAAATACAGGTAATGAAAATTGTTTCTTTTTAGCCTTTACCCGCACATCCTAAGGCTAAGCTTAATTTAAATTCTTTCTGTTTCCCATGCAATAGTCGGATAAATGCTTGATCATGGTAAAGGGTTTGACTTTATACTTCTAGATTTAATGTTATCACTATACAAATATTATGTTTATGTAGAATAAGAGGTCTCTTGATGTCTTGAAAGAGACGGTAGTGGAACATAATGAAGCATCGGCATTATTGGGTGACTTTGCTCGTGACGGACAGGATGTCAGAAAAAGAAGAAAGCAGTATCACCAGTTGGATGGATATACCACTCCCTCCCCAGGTAGTCCAATGATACATCCATTGGAAGAGGAAAATCCATTCGTTGAGGAGGAGGAGGAGGAGAAAGATATCATAATTGATGACATTCCATGTGGATTTTCTTTCAAAAATGGAGATCCAGTTGATGATTTACACGTGGGAGAGACTAATGTGTCTCTACTTTTTAGAAATTATCAGAATCAGTCGCTAAATATTGCAAGGGACAAGGGCTTATTTGTGGAATCAAATGTACAGGAAATATTATCGTTATCGTCAATTTTATTACTTGCCTCGAATTCCTACTCCAATACAATGATTGATCACTTCGGATTGTCCTTGCTTGATGAAATTCATCAAAAATTTAAATCAGAGCAACAAATAGTATTAGATTCGAATTCCGAAACAACATTCCGAAAAGCAGTTAAAATGGCAATGGGTGGATCGCGTGATGATGCTATTATCTGGTTATGCGGAAAACTTTCAAGTGAGCAATCTTTAAGAGAGAATTTAGGTTTTATTATTCTGGACTGCTTGAGAGTGCTACCCTCTTCAAAAATTAGGAATGAGCACAGCGAAATCACACACTATACCAATTTCCTTGATCGCATTATGAAAGGACTCTTTGATGATCCCGATAAACACGTAGTACAATGGCCCAATACAGCTTTAAACGAAAGCAAGACAAGAAAAGCCGAAGGTCGCGCTAAACAACCAGATTTCACAACTTCCATAATTTGTCAATTACAAACTAGTGCCACCTTATTTGTGGGCGAAGTTAGCCCTCCATCAAAAAGAGGGGATGTATATAAAAATTGCAACGATCTTATTCGCCTGGGCGTGTTTATGAAAGATATCCTAGACTCATCTGTTGATAAAGGTGCTGATATAAAGTGCTGGGCTTCCAGTGTGTTGGTAAGGAAATTAATATATTATTTACTCTTTTTCTTATGTTATTCTTTAATCACTTTTTGATCATTTATAGATTATAAAGTTGACTATTATACCATGGACCTTGTCCAAGGAATTTATATTATGATTCATATTGGTCAGATGTTGGTTCCAGCATCTTTAAAGGATATGTCATCTTTTGTAGATGATATAGAATTATCTTTAAGAGTACAAGATATTTTTCGCAAATCTTATGAAAATTTTTATACCAAGCTTTGTAATCCGGGATCATTGACGAAAAAAGCAACATTCAAACGAGAAACCCTTTGCACTCCAAAGTTTCGACAGTTAGTAAGTAAGACACACGATGTTAATAGAAGCTGTCCATTTTGGTTTGGACGTTTCTAATATTTACATAAGAAATATTATATATAACTATTGTGTTTGAGTGCACATCAGAAAAATAAACCAAATTTACACTGACTTCGAATTATTTACTTTTTACACATACATTGTAAAGCGCAGAAATATATTAGGAAAGCTAAGTAAAATGATAGAGAAGCAGGATGTTTCAAGGGAGGAATAAAGCATAAATGCCTGCCGGCCCCTAGACCCCTCGCAAAGCGAGAATGGCAGTTCCTTTCCCGCTACTCACTATTACGTGTAACTGTCGATCCATAAACCAATTTGATCTAATATAATCATCCTTCTTTTAATATTTCTTTCGTAAAACCCTTGTACTGTCGTCTTAATATTCTCCCCCAATAATCGAATGCCCATAACTACAGAAAGACACATCTCTAAAGTATAATTATTTTCGATCTTGATCTGATCAAAAGACTGCTTAAATCGACTCCAGACGGTTAAGCTGATACCCGTGAACGTTAATTGTCCCGCAGGGAATGATTCGAAGCTTGATCAAATTCAATCTCTTCAGTTCTTAGAACCATCGCATAACGTTGATTTATTTCACTTTGGAGAGTTACGATAGAAACATTGATTCGGATTCGGTTGCGACTCTACCAAAAATTGTTGAAGAACTTGTTCGATCTCATCAAGTCTTGCAGTAGAAGTAGTAAGATTCTTTGGAGCTCTGCTGTAAATTTTTCGTCAAGTGTGACAAGAATTTCATTAAACATGGTATCACGGGTGTTAGGTTCGGAATTACGCTTGGCGTCGATATCTTCCTTAGCGGTACGTGAAAAATAAAACGTGGCACCGATAAGCAAGTAGATGGAGATTTTCTCAATGAACACCATTAGTCCGGCGAAGTCCAAAAACGGAGCGATTCCTGAAACAGCAAGTGATGGAAATTGGTCTATTAGCATATATACACGAATGTGGGGAAAATGTCATAGCATATAAACAAATAAACAAATAAACAAACCTTAATCGTTAGAAATTAGATATTGTTTCGAGTGTATGAATCTTTATTAAATTTGTTAAATGTTTTATTCCCTTAATTCGTCTCACAGAGTGAGGATGCTATCGCATCTAATTTTTATCACGAAGAGGGTAAAAGGTGTCGCGAATATTTTTTCTCCGCCTTTTTATATATAAAATCACAGATCGAAATTTATTTATAAACTTGGACGGGAAAGGACGAGAAATTGCCAGAACTTTTTATTGCAAAGCAGGCCAATAGGGACGACTCAGGTACATTTTTTCATAGATACCCCACGCTTTACCTGTCAATTAGATCAATAATTGTCTACTCTTACCTTATTGACATTAGCAATCGGACGTCTGTTACTCGTATCACCAACTTCAACAATTATTACAAATCAATTGATCTTTTAACTAACCTAATTA